CATGACAGGGGCTGGAACAGAAGGAGGAATGTGGGTGGGGGGGCAGGAACAAGAGATGATACAACAGAGGCAGGAAGGTGGGATAGGTCTGGGGCTGGAACGGAAGGAAGGAAAGGTGGGTTAGAGGTGGGAATGGAAGGAATGACGGAGGGAGAAGGTGGGACAGGGGAGGGAACGGAATGAATGAAGGAGGGAGAAGGTGGGACGGGGGCAGGAACGGAAGGAATGACGGAAGGAGAAGGTGAGACGGGGGAGGGAACAGAAGGAATGACGGAGGGAGAAGGTGGAATAGGAGAGGGAATGGAGGACATGACAGGGGCAGGGTAATAATAAGATACGTCCGCTCCAAGGACGGGGAACAGGGGGTAGGGAGCTGGAGGGGCGGTGTCAGTTGGAGCTAGTGACCGGACAGGGGCTATGAGGGTTGGGTTAGCCCCTTTCTCTTTGTGCTGGACGCCATCATAGGGCGGTGGCCGGGAAACATCGAGAGTAGAATCAACAGTGCAAACATTTTCATGATACACAAACTTTTTGTCCTTCAAATTCTAATTCTTCCTCTGACCATCCTTCACGGTTAATTCCTTTTGCAACATGATACCAAGCTTCTGCTGCCTTAGTCAATCCTTTATCAAGCAACAATCCCTCTTTACCTATCAACAATTTTCTCCAGCTCTCTGGTTGTAATCGGCCGCTGGGAGACATAGAAATACCACCGATCTTAGCGATCTTCCTCACCTAAAGCACAACCTCTTCACCTGCCCTTTCTCTTACAATATCACAAGCCAACTGGCCCTTAGATGGCCTAGCATGCTCCTGTCCCATTCTCAATACACAAGTCGTCACTTGGGAGAGATAGAGAGATGGAAACAGGAAAAAGAATGTCTACAGTGCTCGACTGCCACGAGAAATAAATCTACGTGCGTCTTCCCAAAACATAGACTAGTCACCGGATCCGCCCACCCGGAGTGCTGGTCATGGATTGGAGCGAGGCGAGTAGTGTGTGACTAACACTGCTCTGGATTAAAGATAAGGAAGAGGAAGAGAGATAAAGTGAAAGTAGAAATGCTAATAAGAAGACACTTGCAAGAATCACAAATAAAAATATGTGCACATAGTCTTGAATCAAGGATAAACCACACAACACACACAATGCAACCCCAAACTAAGCAACCACCACAATGCAATAAAGAATTACAACGTATCAAACATAACAATAATAAAACCAGCAATCCCTGTTCTTCTCTGAACAGTAAAGCAAATCCCAGCCTCTCTTAGGTGGTAGCGGTCCCTGTTTCTCTCTGAACAGTAAAGCAAATCTGCGGTCCCTGCCAGCTAGGCAGTCAAGCTAATAATATATAACAATACTATGTAAATAACCTAACTTAAATCCCCAAGCAAACACTTTCACACTCAGGATTCACACTCAGGAGGCAGATATACAATCAACAGGTTCTTATAAAGAGACACCGGGCAAGAATTTTACCTGTCTTTGATACCTTCTGGCGGCTGGAGTGGACACGGAGGCAGGCCAACACAAAAACAGGAAATATGGGCAAAGTGCTAATCTGCAACCATTAATGTATATATTAGGAGGTGATCAGTGTCCGGTCCCGTCTCGAGGGGTCCGCTCCAGTCCCGGTTCTGGCCGTCCATTCGGGCAGAGCCCGGTGCCCCATGTTGGGCGCCAAATTGTCGTGGATCAAATCAAGTGTTTGATAATTTTGTATATCTGCCCCTGTCTAAATTCTTAAATTAAATTGCGTGCATGCTGCCAAAAGTAATTCACACCGGACACAAGTTTCAGGTAAATCAAAAACTTGAGGAAAGTTTAATCCAGGGGGCCGGTATGCCCCTTATAAAGCAAGAATACATCATATGCATAGTTATAGATAACAGAGAAAATACATCAATAATTGGTTAGGTGTTAAGTGGATCATCTAATGTAAATCCTACCGGGTGTGATGTCACTGTCATCATGGGATTCTCCTCCACATTCCATCGCCATCTTGTTAGTTGAGGTGGTTAGTCGATGGGAGGAGTAACACCTTAGCGACCATTTTAAGCAACTTATGAATAATACTGATTATAGTTATGCAGAGTAAATAGGCATTTTACTAAAGTTAATATTCTGTCCACAACAACTGTTATAATATGTCACTGCCCTGTTATAATATATCCCTGCCCTGTTATAATATATCACTGTGCTGTTACAATATATCACTGCCATGTTACAATATATCCCTGTTCTGTTATAATATCTCCCTGCCTTGTTATAATATCGCCCTGTCCTGTTATAATATCGCCCTGTCCTGTTATAATATATCCATGCCCTGTTATAATATATACCTGCCCTGTAATAATATATACCTGATCTGTAATAATATATCACTGCCCTGTTATAATAAATACTTGATCTGTAATAATATGTCACTGCCCTGTTATAATATCTCCATGAACTGTTACAATATATCACTGTTCTGTTATAATATCTCCCTGCCCTGTTATAATATGTCACTGACCTGTTACAATATATCACTGCCCTGTTATAATATGTCACTGTTCTGTTATAATATATCCCTGTGCTGTTATAATATCTCCATGCCCTATTATATATCCCTGTTCTGTTATACTATCTCCATGCCCTATTATATATCCCTGTTCTGTTATAATATCTCCCTGCCCTGTTATAATATATCACTGCCCTTTTATAATATATCACTGCCCTGTTCTAATATGTCACTGTCCTGTTATACTATATCAATGTTCTGTTATAATATATCCATGCCCTGTTATAATATGTCCCGGTGCTGTTACAATATATCACTGCCCTGTTATAATATATCACTGCCCTGTTATAATATATCCCTGTCCTGTTATAATATATCCCTGCCCTCTTATAATATATCACTGCCCTGTTATAATATGTCACTGTCCTGTTACAATATATCACTGTCCTGTTATAATATGTCCCTGCCCTGTTATAATATGTCACTGTGCCATGTTTAATATATCACTGTCCTGTTACAATATATCACTGCCCGGTAATAATATGTCACTGTCCTGTTACAATATATCACTGCCCTGTTATAGCATATCCCATTGCCTATGTTCTAGTATATCAAAGTCCTGTTATAATATTATTTTTATTTTATTATTTATATAGTTCCATCAAGTTCCGCAGCGCTGTACATCACTGCCCTGTTCCAATATATCACTGCCCTCTTCTAATATAACTCTGCTCTGTTAAAATACCCCTGCTATGTTACAATTAGTGATGTACCGAACGGTTCGCCGGCGAACGGTTCCTGGCGAACATAGCATGTTCGCGTTCGCCACGGCGGGCGAACATATGCGCGGTTCGACCCGCCCCCTATTCGTCATCATTGAGTAAACTTTGACCCTGTACCTCACAGTCAGCAGACACATTCCAGCCAATTAGCAGCACAGCCTCCCTAGCAGACCCTCCCACCTACTGGACAGCATCCATTTTAGATTCATTCTCAAGCTGCATGCTTAGTAAGAGGAGGGAAAGTGTAGCTGCTGTTCATAAGATAGGGAAAAGCATAGCTAGGTTAGGGATAAGGGTATGCTTTTTTTTAATTTTTTTTTTCTATGTAATGTAAATGCACTTAGTTGTCTGCCACTGCTGCCAGCTTCTGTGTCAGGCTCACAGTGCCCATTTCCCCAGTCAGTGCCACCAATTACATCTGGTGTCACAATAGCTTGGATTTAAAAACAAAAAACTTTTTT